GTAACTAACCTCATATTTTTTTAGGACACCCTATATCAAATATATGTAGTCACCACGTGTAGTCCTTTAACCAATCATATCTCCAGATATCTATAGGAGGTAAGATAAGTATGAATACAGACCATATAGTAAGAGTTTAAGTTCATTTACTTATAATGATGGTGCAAATGTCAGTTTGAATATGGTTACTAAATTAAATTAGATTATTATGTTATTAAACATTGTTTGCAAGAGAAAAGAAAAGTAACTGCGAGCAACCAAATCTACATTAGAGTTTTGTCGAATTTATTAATATACTGAATAATTTAGTAAAAAAATACTTTATGTTTGGAGTATGGCGAGGGGGAATTAAATGAACTTTTCCAAGAAATGTAATAAAAAAAATCAAACTGACTTTAGTCTGGGAAAACATGATTTATTGATTAGTTGTAATTGGCTTTGAACTAGCTTTCAATAACTGCGAGTACTCTTATTTCGTTGCTTTGTGTCAATTGTTTTTATGCTAGTTGTTTTTGTGCCTCGTACCAGTAGTTTGAGTTAAGCCATTTGATATTGATTTTTATAGTTTTTAACTGATGTTGTACTGTTACACCACTGTCACAGGTTAGGGGATGGTTGATCGCTCACCCAGTGGTTGTCGTTGGTTCATGTCTGTCATATTTGTTTTTCGTGAATTGTTTTGTCATAAATTAGGCCGTTAGTTTTCATATTTGAATTCATCAATTGTTTCACATGTTTTATGTCAGGGCATTCTAAAGTCGACTATACGGTATGGGTTTTTCTCATTGCTGAAGGCCGTACGTTTGCCTATAATTGAATACATCCACTTTATTTGAACTCTGGTGGATATATGTGTCTCATTGAAAATCGTTTCGAATCTCCTTATTCTTATATTGCTATATAAATTTAATCAATCTAGAAGTGCATACTTGCATTACCATCAATCCCCATTCCCCACCCCTGTTCACCCGCACAAACTTCCTATAATCACAATCTATATGGTATCAGAAAATGATTGAATTGTTTGGTGTTAGATCGTGTATAGGATAGCAAATCATCATCGCGCATGTGATTTTAACTTTACCGGTTTGAATAGATTATCAATGTTTTGACACAGTCCCCGCATTTAAAGTATAATTCTTAAACCTCAGCGTCATATACTGTAAACGCGGATATTTTTCTTCGCGTTAAGCCATTTGTAGTCCACTTTGCGGCGATTTAATTTCGCGATTTTCTAATTTACTTCAGTGAGGTTGTTATATCGAGGAGCGTTTAGTACTGTGATTTTGTCATAAATTAGTTAAGTTGGACATGATTGTGTTAAGTGTTTTTAATAGACAAAGAATGACAAAATATAAACATTCGGATGTTTTGCTAAAGGAACCTCTGAACATAAATTCAAGCTAGTAGGTATCTTTGTTTATGGCTAATATGCTAGTACATTAAAATTTTATCATATAGTTATAATTTGACACAGAATAATTCTTGCGTATGTCAAAATTTAAAAGTTGTTGTTCGTTTCTTACGCATAAAGAAAAGTGTTTTCTTTACCGTCCGTTACATCACATATTTCGTTATGATATAAACCTACCGTCACTTATTCCGAAAAAAAAAGCTACATTTGCACAAAATTTAAGATTACTGAAAATTCGGTGTCATGGTTTGGTTCAGTAGTGTCATGGTTTAGTTCATGTTCGACATGGTTCAGTTCTGTGATTCCTGGAGTGTATGATGGAAGTGTAACGATCAAAATAAACAGACATTATGTACAACTACTCGCAAAAATACATCGCTCGGGAAAATAAGTCGTCTACAGTAAATTTAAGATATTATCATTATAGCTATCATAGTTATAGAACACGCATGTATAAAGAGATCACGAGGGTAATATATTAATGCATTTCAATAGCAATTTTTCTTTAAAAGTAGTTTTATTCGGAATACAAAAGGACCTAAGAAAGCACATAGTAATGTACAATTAGTAAATGCAGTATGATTTCCAATGAGACAACTATCCACCTGAGACCAAATGACGTAAATGTTAGGTTGCCGTACAGCCTACAACAATTAACAAAACTTATACCTCTTAGAAAGCAATTAAAGGCTCCGACAAAATTAAAGGTAAAGCAATTCAAATGAGAAAACCAACGGCCCGATTTATGTTCAAAACAATAAGTGAAAAACAAATATGATATACAGTAACAAACGACAGCCACTGCATTACAGACTCTGAACTTAAGACAGGCACATACAGAATATGGCGTGGTTTAAATGTTTGCGGGCTACCAACCACCCCTTGTCTTTACCTGGGCAGTAATGTAACAGCACAACAAACCATAAAAATTAGTTGCAAAGGACTTGACTCATCAGATTGAAACACAACAAAATAATCAAGTCACAAAAACACCAAAGACACAAAGAACCGATCCGTGAGTATTTTCTTAGCCAATAACAACTAATAAAAAAATCATGAATCCAAGACAAAAGATTTTTTTTTTTTTTTCAGAATGGAATTATGCTGCCAATATTCATCTTATTCTCTGTGATTTCTCGTCTAGTCGGGTCTAAAATAAAATCCGCACACAGTACTACTTGTACTAAACACAATAAACGTGTATTTTGGAATTTTTCAATTATTTTTTTCGATCACATATAATAATGTACATTTTCTCATACTAAATACTAGACCGACAGAGCCTTTTCTGATATTATCGGAACTTTATTGTTTAAAAGAAAAAAATGCTTAAACGGGTTAAGTGATACTACACAATACACTTATACAATATGACAAAAACATAATCATTTTTATTCATTCGTAAAAATGGACATTATGGACCTATTTCTATTTCGAAATTGTGATCTTTCATATATTTAAATTCGACACTTTGAAAGTAATTTTCGTATTAATTTCACTTATAGTTGATTAAACAATAAGTTTAAACTGTTGTCCGTCTTAACATTTTGTTCCGTGGAGTCGGGGTTGAAGACTGTATGGTGCCCTCTCGATATTGTTTGGTTAGTTTTGTAGTTGGGTTACTGTATCATGGGCGTATACCCCCCAATCTCCTTTTATTCATCATAGACATAGTCTGGTTCAAATTAAAACAATAGATGTATAGTTTGCTAGAAAAAAATGTAAAACAAAGATTATTTTTTTACTAGCTGGTACGTTTTGCAACTCTAAGTAGACGTCTTTAATCGTTTGACTAGTGACGCCTCTCACGATAATTATCCCCGGCAGAGTCCATCATGGACATATGGAAAAAAGAGTCTAGGTGAAATAGAAGCAACGGTTTCTGTTTTTGTAATTTATTATATCGAATGCCAGTTGAAAAGAGCAGTGTTTATATAACAAATTATATCTTAGGAACACACCAAAAAAAATAAAAGAACAGAGTTCCAATGTCCCCCGCGTTGCACATATTTTATCTATCCAAGGTACAAGGGTAATAACTAAAAAAGCACTGTTTTTTTTTTGTTCTTAAAACAATGAATAATATCTTCAGAGAAATGAAAGCTTCAGAGCAAATGCAATGTGATTTCCATTATAATTTATATTTCCAAGGGGGACAAAAATATATAAATGTACAGTTTGCCGTTTACACCCACCAAATTTGGTCAAAAAGGCTTTTTTTCCCTCCTTAGTCAATAGTCAAATTTTATTACTTTGTTTTTTCACAAGCACCTTCAAACAAACTATCAATATTAAGGTGAACAAATATGCATGAATTTGGATATAAACCATGACAAATTTGTTCAAAACCATGACGAATTTCTTAACTCTTAACTAAACCATGTCAATCGCTTAACCAAACCATACCAATTCCGATATTTTGGACATCCTGCGTTAATTTCTTAAAATCAACAATTTCAATTTAGATCGTTTGACTTACAATATAGATTCAAACATGTAATTTGCTTTTTATTTGCTCATTTAAAAGAACTGAGGCAATCGTTCTGGGAAGTAACCTAACTAATCCATGAGCAACTTAACCAAACTATGACACAATCACTGTTCTAAACGCTCATCGATATGACGACCTTACTATCCATGATGCAGTTTTATAAGGAAAGATCCAAGTTTTACACAATTGCGACGATTTATATTAGCGTTATTTATACTACTCGCCAAAGTCGCGAAAATAAATCGCTCGCGAAAATTTATTGGTTTACAGTATATACCTTTTTGTAAAATGTATATTAAAAAATCATCCCAGTAAAATGAGAACAACAGGAAATAGAAACATTACTATTGTCGGCAATGGTAAAATATTCATTGGCTTTTTTTTTGCATTCTATATTGGGGTGGAATTTACTTCCACTTTGATTCTGGAAAAGTAAGTTGCTGAAACAAAAAGAGTACACAGACTGGCATATATGATTAAGTAAAGAATAAGCCACAATTATGCAAATATAAAAGTAAGAAGATATGGTATGATTGCCAATGAGACAACTCTCCACAATAGACCAAATGACACAGAAATTAACAACTATAGATCACCGTACGGCCTTCAACAATGAGCAAATCCGATACCACATAGTCAGTATAAAAGGCCCCGAAATGAAGACTTGATGAAAACAGCAATCGCAAAGAATGCAGTCACTTATGGCATAAGAAGACTTGTGTCACTACAGAGCATAGTATACTTGAGTCCCATGCTACTAACCAGGAACGTATTCATTGTTAAGAGCAACATTTATGAGTCAAATATCATGAACCACATTGTATTATATGGAAGTATGCTTTTAATTACAAATCAACACCTTTTTGTCACTACATTTCGTCGTTCTTTTGCATACGGATGGTCCTCGGCTTGAGTTGTCGTACGTGTTACTAGCTGCAAAAGCTTGTTCTCGGACGCACGCGCAGAGACCAAAAATGATAAAACTTCCCTACAACCATAGGCGGGGTGTAAATACGCAAAGTTTTTCGCCAGAAAAAAAATCTTCCACCAACAATTAATTTTGTTAAACTTAATTATCCCAGAAAAAAAAGAAGATTTTTCGATTTTCTTTTATTGTCATATCACTTTGCCTCCATCGAAAAATGATAATAAAAAGATTTAATATACAATTTTTATACAAGTTAATATTCGGTTTTAATGTACTTTAAGTAGCCCATCTTCCGTTAGCACCAGTCGTCGATGAAACTCCTTTTGCTGCAGCAACTTTTGCTCCACTGTAAATCAAACAAATTCATTAAATGAAAAGAAATGAAAATGTCAAGCAGAAATCATACACGTAACAGATAAGAATGTATAAAAATACCAAAAAAGAGGTAAAAGGTACTTGTATAACAGCCATTTGATAATAATAAATTTGCAAAAGTAGTAAAATTCCTAAATCCTTTCAATATCTAAATAATTTAAAAGATGCTAAATAAATGGTATTACGGAGACTAGTAATTTTAGTGTTACATGTAGCATCGAAATATGTGGTTCAAACAAGATCAATTCTGACCTGCGACCTTTGGGGAGTTAGCAGGCGACCTTACGACCTGCCGTTTTTTTTTTCATGTGACCTTTAAAAATGTTCAAAACCGAGAATCAGATCAGTTTTTATATTATAAATAATGTAGGATTCGGGAAAACTACCAACAGATGAAAATGAATATTCAATCCACATAAAAACTAATTTTTACAGTGATGCTGTTTATCGAGCTCGGAAATTTAGATACGATCTAGGTAAACTGATCCATCCTTTAAATAAACTTATTTTAAAAGATTACCAATCCAACACTGTAGTTACATCTTTAAATATTGTTTTTATTGGTATAGATGTTGATTTTATTATTAGTTGATTAAAGCCATACTTAATATCATTGTTATACACATATGCACTTTCACGGTCCTACAACCTTTCGGTACCTATATTTTGGCATTGCGTAAGTTCATGTTTTTCTCTGACTATTAATGACGTCTTTACACTAAATTCTTTGGATGTTGGATGTGTACTGATTGATATTTTTGTCTTAGATACATGATTTTTTTATAAGTAGTTATTGGCTCTGAACTAGCTATCAGTAACTGCGAATACTCTCAGATCTGTATTTTGTGTCTTCTTTTGTTATTAAGGATGTATAAAGACACTGCCATGTCTGGTCTGTATATTTGTTAGATGTTTTTCTGCTTTGTATCGATCTGACGAGTTAATCCCTTTTTCAACTGATTTTTATAGTTTGTTCTTATATTGTGTTGTAATACATGTAACTCTGTCCCATGTTAGGGGAGGGTTGAGCGCTCACAAACATGTTTAACCCCGCCACATTCTTTGTGTGCCTGTCCCAAGTCATGAGCCTGTAGTATAGTGGTGTTGTCGTTGGTTCATGTCTGGCATGTCTATTTTTCGTAAACTGTTGATAGTTTTTATAAATAAGTCCGTTAGTTTTATCAATTGAATTGTTTAATTTTTTCATGTCGGGACATTTTAAAGCCGACTTTACGGTATTTTTTCTCATTGTTGAAGGCCGTACGGTTTCCCATAATTGATTACAGCCACTTCATTTGAACTTTGGTGGATAGTTGTCTTATTGGCAATCATACTACATCTCCTTATTTTTGAAAGAGCAAATCTGAATAGTAGAGTTGCATAGTATATTTGCATGATCAAGGTTGTGTATCATTAGATGTTTCGTGACCACACCTATATCACAGAAGTGTAACATCATGTTCCGTGATCACGCCCATATCAATGACGCGTCACATCAGTTGTTCCGTGACCACACCCATATCAATGACGCGTCACATCAGTTGTTCTGGGTTGCGTTCAATAGTGTAGCTGCTACGTAGTGCTACGTAGATTTTTGTCTATTGAACGAGTAGCTAGCCTAGCTGCTTTCAATATCTATGTAGCAGCTAGGCTAGCTACACGTTCAATAGTCATAAATCTATGTAGCCCTATGTTGCTGCTACGATATTGAACGCAACCCCGTTACTACTTCCATATCAATGACGCGTCACATCAGTTGTTCCGTGACCACACCCATATCAATGACGCGTCACATCAGTTGTCCCGTTACTACTACCATATCAATGACGCGTCACATCAGTTGTTCCGTGACCACACCCATATCAATGACGCGTCACATCAGTTGTCCCGTTACTACTACCATATCAATGACGCGTCACATCAGTTGTTCCGTGACCATTCCAATATCAATGACGCGTCACATCAGTTGTTCCGTGACTACACCCATATCAATGACGCGTCACATCAGTTGTTCCGTGACCAAACCCATATCAATGACGCGTCACATCAGTTGTTCCGTTACTACTACCATATCAATGCCGTGTAACATTTAATTTAGATGTTCTGTGACCACACAACATTAATCGAATTACTGACATAATGACGAATCGGTTGATATTAATTTGCATGTAGCTATATGCGAAATTGATCCATTTACCGAGTACTATGTTAATGTATAGAGCTTTTTTTTCTATCTCCTCTTCTGATTCTTCCCTGAAGTGTTTTTTTATACTTACTTTAAAATAAGTGTTTTATACATAACTACAGCAATAATAGCCGAAACTCCAATGACAGCAACTACTCCAGTAGGTACGGCTACTCCAACAATCAAAGGAACATTAGCTGTAATAAAAATGTCATCAATTTTATTCAACGAAGCTGGGGCCTTTTTTCGAAGCAGTATCGTGTCCGTAGACCATCTCAGACCATCTTAGGACATATCTTTGTTCTAAGTGGGTTTATCAAACGTGTATCAAATTAGGATTATTCAATGTTAAGGACACCAATTTAGGTGTCTTAAGATGATCCTAACTTAAGGATATATTTTAGTACACGTAATTTTTATCTCAAACCCTCGATTAAGCACTACTGAATGTAAACTTTGCTTTCAAAACAGTCTGTTGTTCGGCATCTGTAAAGTTAAGATTCCTCCTTTTGTTCATATTCACTCGTATTTTTGGATGTACTGATATAGTTTCCCGCTCTGTATGCATATGAAATCTGCACGAGATTTCACTCTGAAGTATTTTCTGTATGAAACTGAGACTTTAAATTCAACTCACTCATAATAGTTCATTATTTTAACCGTTGTGGATATTTCACTTAAATTGGTCAATTTCTATAGAAATCGTATTTACTTTTGTTTTGTTTTGTGTTGTTTCGTAAAAGGTTAAATTTACAACACTATATAAGTTTTTATGGTCATTATGTTAAACCTGTTAATAAATTTTATCATTTTATCCTTATTTAGATATTATTATGAAATTCACTGATTAATTGTTATGAATTTTTATCTTAATATATAGTTTTCTTTTTTACTCCAACACTCAGGATAGCGGTTAGGATAGTGAAGATAATCCTAAGAGAGCTTCGATGCGCATGCTCACACATGTCCTACGTGAAGAACAGTCCTAAGTCCATCCTAAATCATGTATGTGTCTTAGGACAGATCATAGAATACCTTCGATTACCATGCCCTTGCAGTACAAGTCGTTCGATAATTTATTGACATTCCCCTTCAGCTAGGGTCTCAAATTCACAGAATGATGTGGTAAACTCTGGATGGGAATTACAAAATACAAAATGATGGGCAAAAGTACAGAATAAAAGGCATAAAAAAGAAAAGAGAAAAAAAAGGAAGAAAAAATAAAGAATAGAGAATAATGGGGTAGTAAATTATAAAGAAAAGAGAATGAAGGGCAAAATCAATTAAAGAATAGAGAAAATGACCTAGAAAAATAAAGAAATGACGTCCCCCCTCTCCTCTTGGCCATCCAGACCTTCATGTAGTATTGTCCACATCTAGCAAAAAATCCCACTTAGACTGGTGGTAGGGACCGTCTCGAACATGCCATGAGGTGAGACTCTTTGATCCATATCGAAATCCTTACTTGTACTAAAGACGAAGAGCAGCAATAAAAACACTTTTCTTTTGCATTTGTTAATTTTGTGCGTGTATTGATTTTTGTCAAGAATTGCTTCAACAAATTCTTCAATTCTTTCGTTTACAAGACGTACAACAATGGGCTGAGTTTTTCATAATTTCGATGGAAAACAACCTTCATATTTGAATGCTCTTAACTCGATCCTATCATGGAAGAAATTAAGGTATCATGAAATCAAACCAAATGAAGAAAGTCACCAAGATTTAATTAATGGGGAAGTATCGATCAAGCCGGTATGGAATCCGAAATCCGCGGAGTTATCCGAATCCCCGAGGAACAATTGCGCAAGACCGCAAACGGTTGGAAAGTAAAATCTGGATCCGATTCCCACGAAACATAATACTCAATTTTACTGCACCAGATACGCATTTTTACAATTAATGTTTAGTCAGTGATGCTCGAGGTAAATCATTTAAAAATCCGAAACCTAATATAATTAAACATTGAAGAGGGGATAATACTGAAAAGGACAAACAATATAGCAAAACCCCAGACAGGAAATTAGAGTTTAGCGTAATGGAAAAATACGTACATTCTTTATTTCAAATGATTTGCATCGTTTAAGGACTGCATAATTTATAAACACAACTTTCGTATAGTTATTCCAGTACTGAAGAATAAATGTAATTTTAATAAAAAAAAGTTAATTGTACGTTTCATTCTTAAATCATGTTTCAAATGAAAATCCGTTCTGGCTTGTCCTAGTATCCTTTTCTAACAACTTTTTGAAAATTTTATAAGTCTTATCGTTCTTAAACGACCGGACTGAAGTACGTTCACTATTCACTTTTCACTATTTAAAATTCACGAATAGTGAACTGTGTTTTTTTTGAACTATTTACTATTCAAGTTTATTCAAACTGAATATCTTTAATATCTACTTGTATATATAAAAAAGAAGATGTGGTATGATTGCCAATGAGACAACTCTCCACAAGAGACCAAATGACACAGAAATTAACGTACGGCTTTCAACAATGAGCAAAGCCCATACCGTATAGTCAGCGAAAAAAGGCTCCAAAATCACAAATGTAAAAACAATTCAAACTAGAAAACTAACGACCGTACTATTGTACAAAAAAATGAACGAAAAAAAAATATGTAACACAGCAAAAAACGACAACGACTTAATTTCAGGCTCTTGACTTGGGACAGGCATCTATCAAAAATGATGCATCTAAGACTAAATTATCAGTCAGTACACATCCAGCATGGATTTAGTGTAAAGACGTCATAAACAGTCAGAGAAAAACATGACCTTGTGCAATGCCAATACTAGTATACAGGAATCAACAGATTGTAGATCAATGGGAGTGTGTATTTATTTGACAATAATATTTAGTTTGCTTCTAATTTACTGATAACAAAATCAATATTAATACCAATAAAAACAATATTCAAAGATCTAATGACAGTGTTGAATTGGTAACCTTTTTGAATAAGCTTATTTGAAGGATCGATAAGTTTGTCTGTTTTGTGTAATAATTGTTATAATTCGTTTAAAATTCTTTCAGCGCAAAACGTTGAGGCCTAGTATTATAGTGTATAAAGTTATAAAGAGATAGGATATTTGTTAGCCCTGCCCCTTTTATCTAGATTTATTCTTTTTTTTTAAGTAATATTGCACTTGATCCCTATCAATTGCATCTTAAATCAACTTCGGTCAATGATATATATAATACATTTTATGCATATCTAGAAGCTTACGGTACAATTGTCGCACTTAATTTGTTACATATATTTCAAGGGGGTGGGGTCCAACTTTTATTCATAAAACATTAAAGTGAACATTCGTTTCCGCGCATCCTCTATCGGGATGTCCACACTAAATGAAATCCGCCGGCTAAACGGTACACCTTGTGTCAGGGGAGGGCATAAGAATTATTATGTCTCAAAGTGCCAATAATTCTTTTCAAAATCTCACATATTTAAACATTTATACATAAAGAAAAAATAAAAAAATATGAAAAGGCTATAAGAAGTAATATACACAAATAATGAAAGTTTCCTATAAAATACTAGGGGTGGTTTCCTTAAAAAAATACAACACCAATCACGTTATACGATCGAGTTTTGAACCCCTGAATCCCCTAATTACAGGTATATCCTACATATCATAAGAAAGCTTATAAAATGAGGAACAAAAGCTATATTATTTTTCCCATTTTATAAGCTTTTTTATGATATACATGATATACCTGTAATAAGGGGATTCAAGGGTTCAAAACTCGATCGTAACGTGCGTTGTGGTGTATCTTTTCTTAGGTTCGGCCGTTTTCGGTATTCGGGCTCTCCATTGCCCCTAGACCGGATCTGTGGACTATATTCACTATATAGCTTTTGTTTTCCCATTTTATAAGCTTTCTTATGATATATATTCTATATACCTGTAATTAGGGGATTCAAGGGTTCAAAACTCGACCGTAACGTGCGTTGTGGTGTATTTTTTCTTAGGTTCGGGCGTTTTCGGTTTTCGGGCGCTCCATAACACAGATCTCCTATTTGTTAGTTCTTTTATTAGATTTTTCTTGAGGAAAACACCCCTAGTAATTTATGCGAGACTTTCACTACTTGTGTATATTATTTCTTATAGCCATTGCATATTAATCTATGTTTTTGTTTTAATATGTTTACATGTGTAAATATATGATAAAAATGAGAATGGAAATGGGGAATACCGGTATGTTAAAGAGACAACAACCCGACCAAAGAGCAGAAGGCTACCAATGGGTCTTCAACACAGCGAGAAAACCCGCACCCGAAGTCGGGCTTTAGCTGACCCCTAAATAAAAATGTGTAATAGTCCAGTAAAATGGACGTTATACTAAACTTTAATCATATAAATGAACTATAATTAAAAAAACCATACAAGACTAACAAATTTAAGGCCAGAGGCTCCTGACTTGGGACAGGCGCAAAAATGTGGCGTATATTTAATTGGAATATGAGAGTTAGAAAAGAATTATTGGCACTTTTGGACATACTAATTCTTTTTGCCCTCCACTGACACAAGGTGTGCCGTTTAGCCGGCGGATTTCATTTAGTGTGGACATCCCGATAGAGGACCGGATTGCCGGCGGAAACAAATGCTCAGTTTAATGCCTTATGAATAATAGTTGGACCCCTCCCCTCCACCAAATTGAAATATATGCAACAAATTAAGTGTGACAATTATACGCTAAGCTTCTAGATATGCATAAAATGTATTATATGTATCATTGACTGAAGTTGATTTTAGATGCAATTGATAATGATCAAGTGCAATTTTAAGTCAAAAATAAATAATTCTAGATAAAAGGGACAGGGCTAACACATATCCTATCTCTTTATACCTTAATACACTATAATACTAGGCATCAACATTTTTAGCTGATGGAATTTGAATCGAATTAAAACAAGTTTACACAAAACAGACAAGGCAGATAATAAAGTTATTCAGTTTGAATAAACTTGAATAGTGAATAGTGCAAAAAAACACAGTTCACTATTTATGAATTTTGAATAGTGAAAAGTGAATAGTGAACGTACTACAGCCCGGTTCTTAAACGTTGTATAAACATTGCATTTCGTTGAAATGTAAGAAAATCGTCATGACTTGGGTTTTTTCCTACCTAGGTTTCTTTGAGATATTATTTTTTACCATGAACCTAAACTGGATTTTTTTATGCCTGAATTGCA